GCTTGCTTTCAAAGCGCTATTTAAAGCCCCCTTCTTTCTCCACGCTCGCTGTTGTCGCCCTGTTGCTGATGTCAGCGACGCGGTTTAATCGGGCGCGCTTTAGTCGAGCGCGGTTTTGTCGTGCCACACTTCTGAACAAGGCCTGGGAGGGAAGAGGGAAATACACACCTCTAACAAGTGCTTCAGCTGAGACTTGTACTCGTTCAGTTCTTCCCAGGCTGCCTCCTTCTTGGCCTGCAGTTCACCGATCTCGTTCTTTAAAGGATGCACCGCTTCATAGAATCGAATCTGGAGGCACAAAAAAGCAATTGCAGGGCTTTATCTTTCGAAGTAAGTGGAAGAGCGATGAATATTTTATACTCTTTTCTCTTCTCCAAGCTGACTGCACGTCAGGGCTGAGCTGTCAGGGAGGAATGTTGACTTTGAGAATTCTCTGCAAAGCACTTAAAAATAAAGGCAGACCTGCTCCAAGAAGGGGATCCGTTGGGAGCCCCCTCCCTTTGAGGGTGATCTGCCAGAAGCTGCACCATCGATGTGTTCTGACCTAGGCTTCCCCAAAAAGCACGAAGCAGAGTCCTGCTCCCGAAAAAAACCCCTTTTATTAGACAAATGGGACTTCCTATAATTCACATTCAGCAGAGGCCTGGTAAACAGTCTTTCAAAGGAGTAATTATGACCCTATCTTGGAAAGCTGCCATGTAAATATTTTCCAAATGAGATGCTGTGCAAGGAAAGACAAAGGGCACAAAGTCTCTGAGATTCACGGACAGATCTTTACACTCCTGAAACAAACTAACGAACGAATAGTTTCCTGCAAAAGCCCACTCCCCTTTCGCTCCTCTTTTATTTCCTATGGGAGGGTCCAATCACCTTCCACCTCTGACTTTACTCCCTGCTTTCTGAGTTATTCTCTTCTTCTAGCAGCTCTGTGCATGCGCACACTGGGAACAGGCTCCAGCTGTTCCTCTGTCTCACTGCTGTCTAGCTCCGTAGGCACCTGATCACTGCCAGACAGCCTTGGCTCCATCTCTGCCTCTGATGCAGAGCCCTCGTCCATGCCTTCCTCGGCCTCCAGGATTGGCCCATGTTCCTCCCCAGCCTCCTCACTGTCTGATTCTGCTGCCAGCTCTGCTGGCGGGCCACAACACTATGGGTCAGTTCCTCTTCTTCCACACATGTACATCCAGAGGGAGGGAGGGAAGCTGGACCCCGCAGCTCATAAAGTCTTTTTAAACCAGACCTAAGGTTTCCCAGCCCTGCAAATTTGAAGGGGAAAGGAAGGGCTGCTGAGAAACAATAGTGTAATAGTGAGGCCAGAATATGTACTGCACGTTATATTTATAGTTTACGGGTAACCTACGGAACGTGTTTCGTGTTCATTGGCGTTGGCGTATGGCCATGATGGATGGAGCCCCAAATTTCTCTCACTAAACGAGACAGCTGTTAAGTGAGTTGCGCCCCATTTTACAAACCTTTCCTGCTGCAGCTGTTAAGCAGATCACGGTAGTTGTTAAATGAGCAACACGGTTGTTAAGTGAAGCTGGCTGCCTCACTGACTTTGTCAGAAGATCGCAAAATGGAATTAAAGGAACCCGGGGGGATACTGCAACAATCATAAATATGAGCCAGTTGCCAAGTATCTGAATTTTTAAACCCGTGACCATGGAAAACGGTCATAAGACACTTCTATTAGTGACTTTGAATGACTCACTGAGCTTGTAAGTTGAGGACTACCTGTAATTGGCTACTTTATTTGCCCATCTCCAGCCCCACTTGCTGGATTATGGGAAGCATCTGTGAAACCACCTATCGATAGAAAGAAAGGACAAGAATTCTCGGAACTGGTAAAACAGCCTGATGAATTTAGAATGTCCTGTACTCTAAGGGGGGAAAAAAAATATCCCAGAAAGTTGTAGTCATTTGTCGTGACTAAAGAGATGAGAATGAATTGGGTAAAAGCTACCAAGGAGAGGAACATAGCACAAAAGACCAAACAATAACATTTTCTCAACCAGGGGAGCAAAATTAAACAGCATGGATGTGCCCATACCAAAACCAGAAAATTTTAAAATGCAAATATCCCTCTCATAGCTTAATTCAGAATTTACCAACAATTACAAAGCCTATTCTATTCTATTCCATTCCATTCTAATTCTTAATTCCATTCCCCACTCCACTCTAACTCTACACTACTCCACTCCACATGATGCCACACTATCCCATGCCATGCCCTTCTGCATTCTATTTTATTCTCCATTCCAGTATTCTATTCTATTCCGTGTTTTCTATTCTTCTTTTCTTTTCTCTATTCTATTCTCTATTCTATTCTCCATTCCATTCCTCTATTCTATTCTATTCTATTCTATTCTACTCTACTCCCCTTTCCTTTGCTTGTTCTATCAAGCACTTACAGAAACATATTCAGGAATAGAAAGTTCATCCTCTGAAAGAGATTTGAGTTTGGCGTAATATTCTTCGCTCAATTCAAGGTCACGCAGGCTACGACGTATATCTCCAGAGCGCTCCCGTAACTGATGATTGTTCTTTTCCAGTTGCCTTTGGCGCAATAAGATGGTCTCCATTTCCTGTTTCATTAGTTCTTGATGTTTTCTAGGAAAAGAGTTGTTTGTTACTTACCTAAAAGAGGACTTATCTTATCAGGCAATACCATTTATACTTCTGAGTTGAACAAAAGTCTACTCTCATTCACAGAGCAATTCTTTTAACGATATTTAAAGAAGACACAATGTATAAGCCGAATTATTTATGCTGTTTTACCAAGATAATGAAAAACATACATGACTTTTCCTTTTAATTGTTAAAAAAAAAGCCTGATTCAAAAATTCAGTACTTCTATTTTTAACAGTTGGTTGAATGAGTGTGTGATGCCTGAATTTCAGACCCACAAGGCTACTACAATTCCTACAGAATAGAAATGTGCAATGTAATCGTTATGGATTTTTATTCAGAAGGCCTAGGACAGGAGTGTCAAACGTGTGTTATCACAGAATCGTCATCACGTATCACAACTTTTTTACCCTTTGCTAAACTGGGCGTGGCCAGTACGTGGCACATCTGGCCACGCCCAAATTGGAGCAGTCCAGTTTGATTGAACCCCTGCTTCTTAATTTGATACCTTCTCTTTCATACCTAGCATCTTCTTGCTGTAACGCCAGCTGGTTATCTAGTCGTAAAGACAGCAGTTGTTTCTCATGGACTGCATCATTAAGTTTCTCTTCTAGTTCTTCAATCTAAAGCAATACATTTGATAAAAAAGAAACCCCAAAAAAGTGAGCCCAATTTAGATTTATACAATCGGAGAGAAGATACAGATGTTACTGTAATTCTTAGCAGAAGCACGACAATTCTTAACGCTACAATTCTTAACATTAATGCAATTCGTTTAACATTTGAACCATCATTAAAAAGGCAGAGCAAAGGAGGTTCTTCCTGCCTCACCTCAGGAAGGTCAAACTGCCTGAGGAACTGCTGATACAGTTTTACAAAGGAATTATTGAGTTTGTCATCTGTAACAATCAAATAGCAACCAAATAGGACAGGTACAGACTCCAAAGGATAGTTAAGACTGCAGAAAGAACAATTGCAACCAGCCTGACTCGTGACCCGTCAAAAGCGCGGAGGACAAAATCGCGCTCGACGAAAGCGCGCATGTGACATCATCACAGCGCGACGAAA